TGAGTTTTAAGCCACTGGGTCTGGGACTCAAACTGCGGTCCACTATGTGGGAGTTCACCAACATAACCATTGCACCATCTGCTGGTACCAGCGATGGCTAATTTTAACAAAGAGCTGGCTACATTAGGGCTCAAAACAGCTGTAGCTAAGGGCAACAGTTTCTATGTGCTAACTACATTCTAACAAAAAAGTGTAGATTTATATGGCTTTCTGACCCCACAAAAAATGGGGAAAAATCACCCAGACCACCATGTAACTATTTTCTAAAGACCAGGTCCTCATCAGAGAGCCCGCCCAATGTTCATGCTGCTAGATAAAACCCCTCGCCTCAGCTCCTCTTCAGCAACCCATTTCTGGGATCCGTCTGCGTTGGAGTTCTGTTCTCTCTCTTTCTTAATAAATTCTGCTCTACTACTCCTCTCTTTGCCCATGTCTCTAATTCTTTGTGAGTGAGGGACAAGAACCTGGACAGCTCACAGTCCTGAATCCAGCACTGGTAGTGGGCCTGTGCAGCATGAGGGATTTGATTGGCTATGGAGGGTGATCAGGTTCTTTCCAAACCGAACCATCAGGACTCTTTCTAAAACCAGACCAAGCGGCCAAAGACAGAGCCCAGGTCAAGGCCTCATCGAGAAGGGGTGTGGTGGTTAAGGTGCTGGACTCTCACATGTCTGAACACAGTTCGAGTCCCCAACCTGGCAGTTCGCTTTCTCACTCCCTCCCCTTTCTCTCTCTGTTGAGCACACATGCCCTATTGCTAATTAAAATAATAATCGTAATAATTAATAGAATAAATAATTTTTTTTTAAAAAGAGGGGTCTCAAACCTGATTCAAGTTTGGTCAAGAAGGGGGTCTTTATCATCACACTCTCCCACTCCCTACTGAAAACTGAATTCTCTTAGATGTTTTTGTATAGAAAAATACATCATGACTTTCCCAGCAACCCAATAACTACTTTTTCCTATTTCCAAAATCCTTTCTAGAGAGTCTGAAGGGAGTCACACATATGAACATTAGTGTGGAGTCAGCCTTCTCTGTTAAAGTTCATTGCAGACATTCTTTGCTGATCTCTTCCTGAGACACAGCGCTTTTCCAATCACCAACCTCAGAGTTTCAAACACACTGATAACCTGCAAGCCTCCACTCCAGACGTCTCCTTTTTGGGCCAGGCCATTGTAAAGGACTCCTCATGCTGACTGACACGCTCCAGTCCTCAAAGCTATAAAAGAAACCACCGAATCTCAGCCCTCCAAAAAACACACTTTTCTTTCCCTGGTTATGCCACTTAATTTTGTGCTTAGTAATAAACTGTGTTAATAATTATTCTTACAGAATTGGTCGTTTCTGTAGACACTATCCACCCCACCCCCAGCCAACTCATGTCCTGACCCCCAGTACCTCAGAACGGAACTAGCTGGAAACTTCATGGAATGGGACCAGCAGTTGGTGTAATGGCTATATCGCTGGACTCCCATGTAGTTGACCGTGGTTCGAGTTCCAGACCTGGTGGCTTAGACTCACCCCGGACACATGTGAATGCATGCTCAAGATCCTGAGAAGAGAATGGAGGAGAAGGGATTGTGGCATGGTCATCTCCCCTGGGGATTTAAAAAAATATTTATTTTATTAATTATTACTAATTACCACTCGCTTTCTGTCTCTCTGTCTCTCTTTGTCTTCTGGTGAATGCACACACCCTGTAGCAAAAACCTCTCCAAGAAAAAAAGAAAGAAAACTTCATGGAAAATGTATATGATGAAAAAAGTAGACATGGATTTTAAAATTTTTGCAGCAAAATAAATTTGTACTTTAATTCCATTTTCCCACAGACTTTGTAAAGTCCCCCTGTATCAGGAGATGGAGCCTTTGAGGGGTTTGACATGTGAACTGTGGGAAATGGGGTCATCAGGGCAGGCCCTAAGCCAATTTGACCAGACTCCTTATAAGCAGAGGGGATTAGGCCACAGACACACTCACAGGGTTAACCAGGTGAGGGAAAAGACTCTCCGAGCCCAGGAGAAAAGCCTCAGGAAGAACCAGCCCTGCTATCCCTTGACCTTGGTCAGACGTAAGCCTCTCGGCTGTGAGAGAACTGATTTCTGTTTTCTAAGCCTCCTGGTCTGTGGTATTTTGTCACAGCAGTGTGGGAGATGAGTGGGTGACCTGGAGTGCCTGCAAGGAGAAACCGGCTTGCTGTGCCAGCCCCACAGAGAATGCAGGGTCTGTCCTGAGGGTGGACCTCGCTCCAGGTGCTGGATGAGCAAGACCAGCTTCCACGCCCACAGAGAGACAGGCAGGATGAGACGATGCCTGGCCCCCCCGCAGGAGTGCTCGAACGCTGCACGGAACCGGGCAGGACTAGAGTACGCTGTGGTCGGGGGCACTGTCGTAAGGGCAGTCATTCTTTTGCAATTTTTTATTATTGTTTAAGATGCCAAATGAACACATTGTCAATGAGAAACTACCAAGATGTGGGTCTGGTAAGAGTTCACAGAAGGCTCATCCCAGTCACTTTGTACCCTCCCAGCCCTGTGATCCTCGGCACCCCCTTCCACACACACTGCAGTGGGAACCCTCTGGCTTCTAATAGAACTGGCAGAAGAGCCCCAGCAGCTCACAGAGGCCCTCTGGGCAGGGCCTCTCACTTCCTTCTCAAAGAGATGCAGCCCCAAATTTGAAAAAAATGGCTTCAGTGCAATAGAAGCCCCTGGGCCCTGTGAGAGGGACCACCACGCTCCTGAGGGGTTGTCTGTAGAGGGATTCTGATGAAGCTGGGCCCCAGGTACCCCAGGAGGGACCCAGCAGGGCTAACACTGCAGAGTACCAGGCCTAGGATTAGGGCCAGGCCATGCCTTCAGCAAGGGACAGGCTGTGAAAGGGACATGTGGACACTGGCATCTGGGTACTGGTCGGCTCCTGACAGACCCCAGTGGCTCCTGAAGATCAATGTCTCTGCAATCTCCAGACCCTTCATTCAATCAGTCACCACCCTGCACCGGAAAACCTCAGCTAGGAGCAGGGAGGGGCAGGGACAGCAGCGCTGGACACTGGGGCCTGGCAGTGCTGAGATCCAGGTGAGCAGCAGCTTGAGTTGGGGGAGCAGCCTCTCCCCAGCCCCATTTCCTGCCATGTGTGAGCACGCCTGTGTCTGCCTTGTGCTTGGGTGGACGCACCCAAACTCATGATTCTGAGTCCTTCCTTTCTCCTGGACTCCACGTCCCGAAACGTGCTTCGGCTTCTGAGCTGGGGTGCTCCACCTCTGCCGTCAGTGACTGTGGCCAGCTGTGGTTCCCGGCTGCTTCCTGCCATCCACTGTCCCTCTGTGGTCTGGCCCAGCTCAGTCCAGCTCATCCCGGAGCAGCTTTCCATCAAGTGCAGCATCAGTGTCACACTGCTGAGTGTCCCTGTCTGTTCAAACAACTCAGCAAAGAGAGGCAAAGCACCTGCCCTTCCTGGAAGGCACTGGGAAGACTGGGCAGGCCTGACCTACCTGACCCTTGCAGGGACTGCAAGCTCTCGGTGCCTGAGGAGCCTGTGTGCCTGGCAAAGAGTACAGAGGGTCTCCACGGGGACTGGCAGAACAAGCTTGCAGACCCAAGGGGCCGAGGACTGAGTCCTCCCTACCCCCTCAGCTATCACTCCCTGCCTGGCCCTCCCCAGTGGGAGCCGGGACACCAGCCATGAGACTAAATCAGAACCTGTGTCCCAACTCTGCACCCCATGCCAGGTAAGCCCTGTACCCATTCCCCTCTCTCCCCTGGTCTCTGTCTCCTGCCCCCACCTGGGTGTACCCCAGGGGATCCCTGTGGTGAGAGTTCTGACAGCTCTGCCAGCTCTTCCTGCCAGCACCGACCTAGCAGCTGTGCCAGGCCCACTGAGATCGAGACTCAGTCCCACGTGGAGGCAGACATACTTGGGATGACGTTTGCGCAGAGGCTGACTTTCTGGAGGCAGCAGGTGTGCGGATAAAATGAGGCACAGCGCTGTCCCCCGCCCTCCCTGCCTGCCACCAAGGCCCTGGTGCCAAGTCCTGGTCATGCCAGCTCCCAGCCAGCCTCTGCACTCGCTCCCTCTGCCCAGACCCTCCCCTAGCTCCTGTGTTTCTCCAAGGCAGCCGAGCCCTGACCCAGCATTCTCTGGCCCTGCCCTGTTTCATGCTTCACAGCAGTCACCCTGTCTGAGGCTACCTTCCTCATAATGCCATGCGTTCCTGTCACCTGAACATCCCTCTGGGGCCTGGCAAAACGCTCAGCATGTAGAAGCTGTGAGTCATAGGTGTCTTGAATAAATGAATGTCTGAGTTACTGAGTGAACGAGGAAGGGACCTTGGAGCCTAGATCTCAAAGATGAGAAGCCAGACCCATGAAGCACTGAGGGAGGGAAGCTCCTAGCCGTGGAACCAGCTTGTGTGAAGGCCCAGGGGTAGGGCGAGCTTGGCTGCTTGAGGAACAGCTGAGGGTGGGAGCCCAGTGAGGGGCTAAGGCAGAGGGCAGAGGGACCAGGCTATACCGACCCTTGGGGCCACTTTACTCCAGTCGCTGCAAGGAGCAGGGAAGAAGAAGCGCCATTCTCTTCCTGGAACAATTCCTGCCTCCAGGAGTTCCCTTCCCTTCCAGCCAGCTTGACCTACACTTCAGGCACCTCTTAGCAGTGGGAACAGCTTGTGTGAAGACCAGGCGTCTAGACCCCCACAACAAGCACGCCCCACTGCAGAGCATCTCAGAACCCTCCAGAAGCGATCTTTATTCAGGGTACGTGATGGCCTTGTATCCCCTGAAGACCGGGCTGCATCTACAAGCTGAGTATTGACGACACTCACACATTGGTCCTTGTAGTCCTAACCCAGACCTGCTTCCAGGGGTGAGGGTGTGTGTCTCGCAAAGCCCTCAGAACCCAGTCGCTGTGGGCCTGAGCACAAGCTCCCCACCGTCCACTGGCGTGGGCTGAGAGGGAGGACCAGCGCTGTGTGCCCCTGCCCGGGACTGTCCTGGATCCTGGATCAGGGGAAGGTGGGCGCCTCGGCCAGCGGGCGGGCCATGCTTTGGATGGCCCAGTGCAGGATGCCATCGAAGGAGTGCTGTGGGCAGAGCAGACGGCAGGGCCTTTAGTGGGAAGGAGCCTCCAGGGGACAGGACGGGCCAGCCACAAATTCCTGACCATTGTGACAACCTGACCCTCTTCAAAGGTGGGAAACCAGGGCCCCTCGGATACACCAGCTGGGTGGACGCTCTGGCCAGTGCTCCCTCAGGGCGCCCTGCAGCTGTTGTGCCTCCTCGGGCAGTTTCTTCTGGCGGGGGG